AAAAAAGGTCTCGTCTTACACGGGACAAGGCTGACAGCAAAGAGCGACAGATAACTCAACGACCAACGTATGACGAAGGCTGCGCATATACAACCCGGCCATTTTTTTTTTTGAGAAACCAATACACACCGTACACACGACCGTCTGCACCATGGGCTCCGACAGTGAAGACGAGCTGTAAGTTGGCGAGTGTTTCGCCTTCTTTCTTCAAGGATTTTGACACTTGCTGACATTTCAGGACTCTCTCGTCGTCCACCATCGGCGCCCTTAAGGACTTCTACAAGGAGCGTGATGAGCGCGAGAAGCGGTTTGCCGACTTACAAGCGGTTGCAGAGGCCGCCTCCAAGGCCAAGGAGGCGGCAGATGCCGAGGCAGCCCTCCCGGATCTCACCATGGCCTCATTCACCGAAGACTGGAACGAGTCTCAGTTTTGGGTGCGTCCATCTTGTTGACTGGCCGTTGTTTCTCATATTGTGCCTTTTGTGCCCCTCCTAGGACTTGATCGCTGACCCCTTTAGTACTCGGATGAAACAGCCACTGTCCTGGCGCGGCAGCTGCTGGACGGCACCGATGCCTCTTCTCTTATTGTCGTCGTCTCTACACCAAGCGTCTTTATTATGCTTAAGAACATTGCCGTATGTTTAATTCTTTTTACTTTTTCCTTGTCCCATGCATCTTCTTGGTTTGCTCGCCGTTACATGTATTGACAACCCAGAAAACTATCCCGGTCGAGTCCCGGCCACGGATACTGCTCCTCGAGCACGACAAGCGTTTTGCCGTCTTTGGCGACGAGTTCATCTTTTACGACTTTAATGAGCCCACAAATTTGCCAGCGGCCCTTCGTGGCACGGCCGATCGCCTCATCTGCGACCCGCCGTTTCTCAGTGACGACTGCCAGACAAAGAGTAAGTCGTGTCGGTGTCCGTTTTAGCTGCTGTGGAGATATCTGTGCTGTGATCACTCATTAACATGTCAGCCGCCCTGACGTTGCGCTGGATCGGCAAGCCTGGCCCGAACACGCGTATTATTTCGTGCACTGGCGAGCGCATGGCCGAGCTGATCACGACCAAGCTGTACAAGGCGCAGGGCGTGCGGATTACGACATTTGTGCCGCAGCACTCGAACGGACTAAGCAACGAGTTCTTGTCGTACGCCAACTTTGAATGTGCCGACTGGAAGTTCCGGGATGCGTAGTTCAGTAGGAGGTGTTGTGAATGGAGTGCTTTTGTTTCGCTTCTCAAGTTTCAAGTTTCACGAACTTTCTCGTCGCACAAATCATGAATGAGATAGATAAAGAAACAAAAAAATACATGGTCTATATTTCAGGGCGCCGACTAATGCCTGGGGTTGTTCTTGTTCCATCTTCTGTTCCATTAGACAAAGGTGCAGTCCAGTATCTATTGACCTTTGTTCTGATTGTGCCGCGGGCAAGAAAACAAACTCTCCCCCCTTCACCATCTCGTTTCCCCGTCCATGCAAACCGGGATGCTGGAAAACAATACCGAAGATAAATGAAGTACTAGACGGTCCACAGTAAAAAAAGAACGGCGAGTACCACGGGGATCGACAAATTGCGGCGTATATAAAACATACACGCGCATACAAAAAAAGAGACGACGCCGTGACTGGGCCCAGACGCAAGTAGGGTGGAAGAAGAGAGTGAAAAAGAGCAAAAAGAGACGAAGCGAGCAGCGCAAGGAATAGAAAAGCAATCTTGTTCTTGTTCATCGTTGAAAAGGCCAATACAACCCTTTTGTTCATCACTCACTCTCGCATTTTAAGCTAGAGAGCGGATGATGTAGAAGAGGAGGTACGCCTTGGCGCCCAGGACCTCGGAGTTGGACGCCAGCTCGACGCGGTGGTCGTTGAAAGCGAACCACTGGTCGCCCACGCGGCAGTAGGACACGTAGTGGCCCGTGTCGATCTCACCGACGTGCACGACGACGCTGAGCAGGTCGTACATGCACGACCGGTTGAGCTCGTAGCTTTCGCGGCTATCCTGGTTGCCACGGCTGCGGTTGGTGTACGGCAACATGTTAAGCTGCAGTGGGAACTCGACGGGTGTGTCGACCTTGACAGCCTTGTCGTGGCGACCCTGCTTATACTCAAAGCGCTTGGTGTGTTAGTTGCATGGAGTTAAGGAAGCAGCGTGTGGGCAAACAAAGCAAGCCAAAAAAAAAAAGAAAAGAAAACAACAAGAAAACCGAACCAAAGCACATACTTTAAGTTGAATGGACAGCACATTGGGCAACGACTTGATGGACGTGTGGCGGCGCGCTTGCCGCGTCGAGTGGCACTTGTGACAGCGGTACTCGCACTTGTCCGACTTGATGTACTCCTCGTCGAGGCACTGTTGCAGCGTGAGTTTGTTTGCGCCGGAACCGGCCTGCGCCTTCTTGGACCGCTTCATGTTGTCGACTCCCAGGCTCAGATCCAAGAACGACTGCACCTGGTTCGTCACGCCGTTGCATTGCTGACACGTCGTCGTGCTCTGCAGTTTGCCGTAGAACGTCTGGTGGATGATGCACGTGCACGAATGCTCGCTCCCGTGCTCGGGCTTCTTGCCGTCCCCGTTGCGCTCGTGCAGCTCTTCGGCCAGGAACTGAAAGAACTCGTGCGCATCTTGCTCCCTGGTGGTCACGAGGTTGGCAAACGCCTTCTTCTCGGAGATCCAGAAGCTCGACAAAATATTGGCTGCCGTGTAGCCGTTGGTTGTTTCCTGGCCGTAAAACTCTTGAAACACGTCGTCCATGGCGCAGCTGAGGCAGTGTGGCGACTCGCACAGCGAGCTCTGGTGGCCGTCGGACAGATAAAAGTTGCGCAGGAGCGGGTTGTGCAAGAAACACTGCATAATCACATTCTGGTAGCAGGTAGCGCCGGCATTGTAGATGCCACGCAGACCACTGGCCCGGCACGACGCAAGAGTCGTGTTGGAGGCAATGTATCTGGGGTCGTCCTTGAGCGAGTCCGAGAACAGCTCGTCATGCTTCCGCTTGCGGTTTGCTTCGGTATTGTTAGTGGCATTCTGTTGTTGTCAACGCGGCGTGCGGGCCTCCTATTTGTTCAGCACATACTCGAGAATGAGCCGGTGCCTATCTTGCGCAGCCGAAGCTCCTCCAATGTTGGGTCGTACACGAAATCGTCGCACATGTGGCAGTACAGGGTGCCGCATCGTGATTCAACGTCTGGACGAGGTGAGTTGGGGTTAGCCATGTCCCTGGCGCTTGTCTTGATTCCTCATTCTCTCTCCCTGTCCCATGTCACATACAAAATCGATGGCTCTTTTTCTTGCCATGCTTGCCAATGTCCTCCGGGACCAGCGTTGTCGGGCATTGCAAACACAGGTAGTTGGGTGTCAGGTTCGTGATTGGTTGGCCGTCTGCAGACTTGGACGTCTGGGGAACAATTGGCGGCTGGTCGAAGATTTTGCGTAGGATGATTTTATAATGAAAAATGGACGTGTTGATCGTGTCCTGGCCCTGCGAGAACAGCTGCTGCACGTGTTCACAGCCGTATAGGGGCATGCCCGGCACCGGGGCCTTGATCTTGATCGTCTTGGGTGACGACGGTGTGGTTGGTCGTGCCGCCATGCTGGCCGTTGTGCGTATTTGTATTGTATCGGCGATTCTCACAGCCCCGGGGTAAAATTAGCGCCTGACGGATCTAAATTACCAGGCAGTATGAGGGAGGAGATGGAACGGATTGTTGAGATGTCGTCGAGACGTCTGTTGGGAAGAGAACCTTGTCGGGACTCGAGATCGGTGGCAATCGTCGGTTTGTTGGGTGTGTTTGGTGTGTCGGGAGGGTATCAAAGACAATTCGGTAAATGCCGTGGACCACCGGATACACCGGAATTCGGGTTCGAATCGCACGTTTTCGTACAGTATTCTGTTCGTCTCGTTCGCAGCTATGCTTGGTCGATGGATTTCGCCCAGCAAAACGACCCTGCAGATGCCGCCAACTGAGAACAACCGGCCTCAAAACCGCCCAACGTTTCCTCCGTCGTTAATTTTCCGTTCGCCGTGCTCTTACGTGTGTCCTTTCGTTGTCGATCCGGTCGCATGCGCGTCACCATGAGGCGGTGGTGGTGATCAAGGATGCTCTCGTGCAGTCTTTGTCGCCGCCTCCTGCAAGTTGTCGGTCGATGTGCCCCTGCTGGCGCCCTTTGTGCAGCCTTTCCCCCATCGCGTGCGTGGGTGTTTCAATGCTGCTTTTTAATGGCAGGTGGGGACGTCTAGGAGCATTACTCTGTGCCCTGATTGGCTACAGCTTCCAGAGAAGGGTGGCAATCTGGGTATTTTGCAGCGTTCCGAGCTGAACAGGGGCACGATCGTGGAAGGTCTTCATAACGATGAAGCTCTTGCCTTATGCGTTTCCTCTTAACTGTCTACTGATGCATCTTACTTCACGCGAGCTGGACAGGCTTCGACCGAGCAGTCAAGGGCGTATATTCTGGCCGTTACCGCCCGCACACAGAATCCTTATCGACACCTGATCTTGGGGGCTTTTCGCTTTTGCTAGCGGCCGGCCACTAAACAGGGGGGGTTCCTGATGCCGCCGAGCCGCCCTCCCATTGCGCCATTGGCAGGCGGCAGGATGGCAACTGCCAATTAGTGGTCAAGGGGACCTGCAGCCTCGGCTTTACAGAGGAAGCAGCAACCCCATGATGTAAGAGCTGAGCCGGAATGCGGAGAAAGATCACGACGTTCCACGACAGCAAGCGTTTACGGCTCACAAAGGCGGACTGCGAGGGGAGAAACGAGTACAAAGACAGAGAATATCGCACAGGAACATACGCATTTCAAAGTTGAATGTGGTCCAGTCTGCGACCCCGCGTGCCCTGCTGTCGGCCATCGTCTCAGCTCCGATCGAGACTGTTTTGTCCACGAGCACTGTCTAACCGAGCATTCCATCCATTGGCTACATCGTTTTATTCCCGGCCCCCGTCTGCGAGGCGGCTACAAGCATTGCACCCTCCCTCTCGTTCCACCCGCTTCAGAATGGCCTCCCAGCTCGTTGCGCTCTCCGAAGTCGAGCGCCTTAGCCCGGCCTGCATCCGCATTCTCGGTGGTAACCCTGGCAAGTTCACCTTGCAGGGAACGAACACCTACATCGTTGGTACCGGCCGCGAGCGGCTGCTCATTGACACGGCCGAGGGCGTGCCTGCGTGGGCCGACGCCCTGGAACGCACGCTGGCCCAGGAGAGCGCCACACTGTCCGCTGCCGTCATCACGCATTGGCACCCAGACCATGTCGGCGGCATCAGTCAAGTGCGCAAGTTGGTGCCCGGCGCGACCATCTACCAGAGCCAGCTGGAGAGCGGCCGGTTAGGCGCGGCCCCTGGCCAGGAGGTGCTTGACATTGTCGAGGGCCAGGCGTTCTACGTCGAAGGCGCCACACTGCGCGCTGTGCACACGCCTGGCCACACAACGGACCACATGGCGTTTGTGCTTGAGGAGGAGGGGTCGCTCTTTGCAGGCGACAATGTGCTGGGACAGGGCACCGCCGTGTTTGAGGACCTGGCCGTCTACCTGCAAAGCCTGGCGCGGATGCGGGCGCTGTACTCGGAAAAGCGTGGTACCGCCGCTGCCACTCCCAACCGACTCTACCCTGGACATGGCCCCGTGGTGGAAGACGGGCCGGCCAAGATCACCGAGTACATTGAGCACCGCCAGCAGCGCGAGGACCAGGTTGTGCGGCTGCTGCGGTCGCCTGACAAGGTAGCGGCAGCGTCGTCTACATCGTCGGCAGCAGCGTCTTCATCGGCAGACGGAAAATCCCCCTCGTCATGGACGGCTATGGAGCTGGTCGAGGTTATCTACGCCGATGTTCGCAGAGACCTATATCCAGCCGCCGAGCGTGGCCTTGTCCAGATCTTGCAGAAGCTGGAGGACGAGGGCAGGGTCGTTCAGGACGGGCGGGCGTGGACCTGGCGGGAGCGGTCGCCACTGTGAAGCAGGTAGATCAGTCTCGATTCTCATTTTATTGACAACGGCAAGGATCGACCGAGTGTATTGAAGCAATGAGGAATGAAGCGATGCATGACACCATGTGATAAATTGCACCTAGGCGATGTGATATAAATCCGATTCAGTGAACTCTACAAATGTGGTCATGCGCATCGCCTACGACAAGTAACTTAAGCCCAAGGGTGTCGTCGTGAATAGTATATACTCTCAAGCTACATACAGCCTCGAGGAAGTCATACACATCGCATACCAAGCACTTGATTTTTTGTATAGACAGCAAAATACCTAGTATTTACTCCGTTGGCCATCCTACCAAAGCACAGTTTTCTCGGGATCTCGCTGAAGGAACAAACGGGACTTTACGACTTTTGATTACTTTGAGTCGGCCAAATAAAGGCTGGCAATTACCAAGCTCCCAAGGTATCGAGAATACTCCATAAGGAGGAATGGGCCCTGGGGACCTTCATGGTAGTATGAGGCACTACTCCAGGTAAGTGGCACGTATGGCGAACGAAAGGCTCCGGGCACGTCTCGTCGTACGAATGGCTGTACAAGCGGTGTAGAGACGATAGATGCGGACAAAAGAGAAAGGAAACAAGAAGTAAAGAAGAATAAAGCAAAGCGAGAGCCCCTTGTCGGCCTCAACCGCCTCAGCTGGTTCTTACTTTTTCGATTTTCTAGCGCCGGCTTTGTAGATGACAAACAGGTAGGCAGAGACGTGGACGAGATGTGGAATAAACGTCGTGGCGTTCATACGAAGCATTCGAAATCCACAGAGGCGGCCGCCTGACTGTAACACTTAACACTTGACATTTTTGTGACAAGCTTTTGTCGTATATGCAGCCATTGCCCTCGCCTTCCGAATCGCCGATGACCGGGACGAAAAGCGCGAAGGAAATGCTCACAATATAGCTACTTATCCACGCCCAAAAAAAAAAAAAAAAAAAAAAAAAAAAAAAAAAAAAAGTACATTCTCACAATTTGTTCCTCCACGTCATTCGCATCCTTCCCCTCGCATGTTGCCTTGCCATCGTCGTAGCTTCCGCAAAGTCCGGCAGACGAAATATGCAGGCAGATGATCGCGGGCGTGTGGTAGCGGTGGAGGTGGATAGGTTGGGCAAGAACGGTTGGTGGTGGGCTGACCCTTCCTGTTTCGGAGGACAGCATGTAGAAAAAATGGGGATGGGCATCGCGAATGTCCTGACGCCGAAAGAGCGAATAAGAACAGCGACGAAAAAGGGAAAGAACGGGGCCGATGGCAGGCGGGACCTAGACGACAAAATGTAAGAAAGGCTGGGAACATAAATTACAGTGGGTCGATGACCCCAAAGGGCTGAACAGTATGGAACCGCACTGTGCAGCCTTCTGTACGAATATGAACGTCGAACCATTGTTATGTTCTTCATATGACCATCTGTTGCCAAGACGCTTCTGCATATTCGATGTGGGCGGCCAGGTATCTAAGAGGTGGCGTTTTGGATTTTTTTAGTGTCCCAAATCCCGCTATCAAAGCCTGGACGAGTGCCAGCCGCGTGGGATGGGGTCACAGGCCCTGTCCGCTCCGGAAGGCTCGGAGTCGAATTTGACGGAGAAGAGAGACAGCATGGAAACCGGCCATGAGGGAAAGGAACGAAGACTGCAGCGACAAACAGAACGATGATCATGGCATTTTTATATTTTGAGGGCGAAAGAGCACAGCGGCCAGGTCAGTTACAAAAATGAGATGCAGCCAAAATAACATGCCAAATGACGTGCCACACACAGCAAAAAAGACGAACTGGGCTCGGACTTTGTTTGTGTCCGGGGAAAGCAAGCAGAAGAAGACGTTTATTCCGTTGTGGTGGGGTCCATGGCAGTGAAGCGAAAGGAATGCACCAAGCGAACGAATTGAAGTGAAGAACGCAAAAGAAAAGAAAGACGACGGCAACGGTAGCGCGCGGAAGCAGCCAAAGAAGGCTGGCAGTCAGCCGTTGTAGCGGACGCTACGACGACGCTTGGGACACGGGGACTTTAGCAGCAGTGACGTCGTCTTTACAGAAGCGAAGAAGCGCCAGCTGCTCCAAACTGTCCATTGGACAAATTCAAATATTTGTCATCGGAATGGTCATTTGAGGAAGGATCTGTACCGGCACTGGGAAGCGAGAGCCGCCACACGTCAAGATTTGAACAGAGTTGCTGCCGAGGTATTATTACTCCAGACTGTGGCAAGCAAAGAAAGATATCAACGAACAAGTTAGTAACCCCTTATGTTGTTCCGTTTTCTCGCACACGCCCTTCTGACTCACAGTAGGTTCTCTTCGGTTTCCGCACGGCTGGTTTGTTTGGGTGATTACACGTCACAGGCTGTCGCGACCGCAGCAGACGAATTACTCCCGGAAACACTGTATTTGGATAACTTGAGCATCATGTGGAAAAAAAGAGGTGGCTCTCAAAGAGGCGACTTACGTGCCGGCAGCGTATAGTAGGATGCTACCCATCCGTGCATGATTTTGTAGCATGGCATCATCCAGAAGGGCAGCCATGCATCCCGACATGCTCTGCAGTTACGGTCCTTGCTTCAAAGACTGTAAGATACTTGAAAAAGCATGCCACTTGGTCTAGAAGAAACTATGCGTTTTAACATTTGTAATAATTCTACTTGCCGTTTCTCGCTATAGACAACCTTAAAAGAACCACAGGAGCGGTCGGACGATGCCTACGATAAGTGCACGGGACTGGTGTTGTGCAGAGGCGCAAGTCAAAGGAGGGCCGTTTATCCTTTAGAGGCTGGTTTGATCACAAATTAATCAGAAAACAGACAACGAGCCCCACAGGGCGAGATCGGCAAGAGTGCGCAAAAAATGCCAAAAGTGACTTCCGACTTACATGCTTTTAGATGTGCCGCCTGGCAAAAAAGTAGGGGCCCAGCCGCTGGCCAGAGTCTCCATCCGGCGTAATAAATTCTTTTTTTGTTCTTTTTATTTCCGGGTTGGGCCCATTCTACAAAGGAACCTTTGTAGATCGCGTGCATGCGCAAATATTAGAATGGAGGAGACATGGGATGCTCAAGTGAAAAGCGGGTAAAATGAATAAATAAATAGGAACCGCAAAATCATACGTCTGCCCTTCGTACTCGTAAACCTCCCCGCCTTTTGCAACCGTCAATTTTACGACGTCAAACTGCTGGTTCGACAACATGGAGCTGATCATGTGCACACATGATTGGCACTATCGGCCAAGGAGAGTCACGTAGGCAAGGCATGCGGTCAAGGTGCGCGACCCTCGATCGCATGTACCGGCCTTTCGACAGGATCAGTGCGTCGTCGTCAGCAACTGGTAAGAATCGATTGCGTGAGCTGCAGGTCAAGACTAGGCCCAATCGTCACCGATCCACCGCCCATCACCTGAATAGAGCCATGGCACAGACTCAAGATGACTACTTTCGTAGATTGGGCATGGGCAGTTGGCCCACCCATCGCTTGCTCGCCTTGTCTCGGATTTATCATACGCCTTGGACGTACCAACAGCAGCCTCTGCAAAGGCCCCGTGCTGACAGATAAGCCTGCCAAAAGAAGGAAAAAAAAGCATATGATCCCAGCTTTTGCGGCATACCCACGCCGACGGGCTTTTGTACTGCCCCGTGCAAACCCCGAGCAGCATTTCTGGATTGTTCTTCTTTTCATTTTTCGTCCCTTGGTCTTTTTGCCTTCACGTCGTCTCCATTGTTTTGACACGAGCTTTTTATTTGGCTTCAATGTGCTCTATCCATGTTTGATAATCATTTGTCGTTTTGAATCTAGCAGACTTTTCTCCTTTGGCGTTTGCCAAGCAAACATTCCCTGGGTCTCCGGTCTTCTTTTTGTCGTTCCGATGTCCGTACTTCTGTTTTTGTCAACTTACATGGGGATCTACACAGGCATGGCTCGAGTCTCTTTTGCTTGCTTTTGCTTCCTGGAGTCGAACGGAGTTTATCGTACGTCGTTGATGCAAGGCAGCCGTCCAAACAACAAAATTGCCCTCTTTTTGTTTCGAAATTGCTGCCATATCCAACACTGAAATAAGATCTAATTTCAACCCTAATGACAAGGCTAGTCAGCCTCCAGCTCTTGTTCTGCGCCTTCGATCCAACCACAGCCAAGGAATAACACCATCGTCGTCAGATGAGTTGGAATCAAGTGCTCAATCCTTGCAGGCCAAACAGCCTACATGTAGAAGAGAAAGAGAACGAGGCCAGGCACGCAATTTGCTTTATGTCGCGTCGTATGACTAGCGGATCGCCATCCCAGGCTGCAAAGTTCGTCTGCACCGCAAATAGTCCCACCTTTCAAATGTGACAGGTAAAAGATTACACACTTTCGATGCTTGGGACGGCCTGTTGCACGCGAGCGCCCGTCGTGCATCTCATTATCTTCTGTTGGTCGTCGTTCTTTCGTCTCCGACTCTTTGAACGTCGGAGTTAGCGCTTTGTGCTGTCCGTCTATTGAACTGTGGCTTCCAACGGCGCTGGAATATGAACGCCTCGCGCCAACAAACAACTCCGTCGCGACAAGTCACCCAGGGTGCTCCGTGCTCCATCCTCTATCACGACCACTGCAGCAACCGGCAACCTTGGCCTGGTTGAGGATCCTTTCGAAGCAAAGGCTGGGCGCCACGGACTGACGTCGACTTTCTCGCTCTTTTCATCCTCTCGAGCCTTCTCCTTGTCTAGTCCTGCCTTGTCGTGTCTTGGGCAAGCTTGGCCTTCTTACGCCGGCGCGGCGCCGAGAACGTGCGCGCCAGTACGGCACATTCGTGGTTTGTACCGTGCACCACTGTGTGGGGAACGCATCATATTGTCACACACCGCTTTGTTTTGGTGCTACTGACTACCGTTGCCCCACATGCTGTGATGGGCTCTTACCGTTAGCAACAGCCTTGACGCGCTAAACATTGCCATTCTTAACCTCGTTATTTTTTTTTTTGTTCTGTCACCACTTTTTGCTCGGAAAGTTCGGATGCACCAGAACAGCAACGCCGACTTACCTCGCACCCCCCCCTCTGTTCCCCCGTCCTCGATATATCCACCACCCTGGACGATTACGTCGTAATGCTGCTCTCCCTTCCTTCTTGTCTGCACTAACCGACGTCCTATTGTGATGGTCTGCTCTGTGGACAAATGGAGTGTCTCGGGAGCGGGAAGCCAAAACAAACGAGCTCCTGCCCTTTTCTTTTCGTCTGTGTCGCGCTGTTGTGCTAGTGAACGCTCTTGCCCCTGCCCATCAAATCCACAGTGCTGAATGTATGTTCTATCCGTCGACAGTCGCCTTTGTACACTGTATATTGCCTGGAAGGCAGGGTCGACGCACAGGTGGTCTGACTTCAACCAGATCCGTGTGTGTACTGTTGTTGGACAGCTTCACTCCGGTGTATGTCCAGTGCTCTTTCCTTGTCGTCAGATTGGTAACATAGGAACGAACGAACTGGCGAAAGCCATATGTAAACGTGAAGAGGGCCCGCAAAACCGGGGCTCGGAGGCCGGGGGTGAACGGAGTATGCTGTAAATCGTACTTGCTGTCTAATATTTTTTAATACTGTACGCCGTACTGTCCCCATCGTGCTTTCCCGTCCCAAGTCTGCAAACCGCCTCTCTTTCCCTTTTCTGTCTTGTCGCTTTGTGAATAGCTCCTTCTCGTTCGCCCCGCGGACGCCTTTTGTTATTACCAATCCGTCGTTCCTCTGTGTAATGTGCCATGTGCTCGTCTTGGCCGTTCGAGGCCTGTTCGATGCGCTCGCTGTCCGAATAGTCAACACCCCCCCCCCCCTCCAACCTCACATCGTAGCTTCCCTTTTTAAGTACCAGCTCGCGCCGCGACTGCCTGAAGCTCTCGCCACCGTTTTGTGGCTTCTATTATTTTGTCTGGTCCTGTACTGGTCGCAATTCCGTATTTCCTCTTCTTCCTCCTCTGTTCTCTTCTCCAAATGCGTTGCGAACACATTAATCTATAAACCACCACTCTCCCCACACTTCGCTACGTATTCTGCAGAGTACGTGTAATCCTTTTCTCGGCCTGTCAAAGTTACTGATCCCCGTTCACGATCTCCATCTTTTGTGGCCTGTTTCAGTCCCTCGACAGGACTTTTCGGCGATTCAATTTGATTCCTGTCTTGTACAGCCTACGAGTCGGTTGCCCAGGCCTCTGACGCCCGGCTTACCTAGCAATACCCGAAGAGCGTCCTTTGTTACGTCGCCTTGCGCTTTTCTAACGGTCCCCTTGACCTAAGGAGTATATTACAAAGACCCTGCCGTCGCACACCGGAGAGAAACGAGGCTGCTGGCTTTCACATCACTCGCCTCGCTCCTATTTTGTCGTTCCAAACAAGTACTTCCAAGACAATTACCTGCCTCTAGGGCTACATACATCACAACCAACAAGCTTCAACGGCAGCCGCCTGACCTGCAACTGTGCTCCTAGACTCGTACCGAGGAGAAGGCGAGCTTGACCGACGCCAATAGAGGCTGTTTTTAAGCTGTTCTGTAGCTTCGCGGGGGAGTTCACAGAAGCACCGCGAAGCTCGGGTGACCGCTGTAGAAGGGCCAACGACAAGCGAGGAGCTTGAAACAGCTTGGGAATTACGCTCGTGAAGCTTCCAGTGCGACCTCATCCATTTTTTTTTTCTCACGACCAGCAAAAATGCGCTCAACAACGCATTCTCTTGCCATAAAGGCATTTTTTGTGGCCGCTCTCGTCTTTCTGGCCGCCCCGGCTGTGCGCGCACATGGCGACGACGAGGGGATGGGCATGGATATGGGCGACAGTATGGGCGGCAGCATGGACATGGCGGCAAATCCGCACCCGCTTGCACACAACGCGACGACCAACGGCACTGCCGAGATTATCTACAAGCCCACGTACTTTGCGCACCCAGAGCACGTCGGCCTGATATACGCACACATTGTGCTTATGACTCTCGGCTGGGTGTTTGCGCTGCCAGTTTGTAAGTACTTTTCTCGGAAAATCCCTGAACTGCTGGGGAGCCCCTGGGGCACGAGCGAAGACTGGACCAGAAATTCAGCGTGCTAACAAAACTGAAGCGGTGATGTTGTCCCTTGCGCGGTCGCGCTACACGCTGCCTTCGCAGCTGGTGTTTTTGGCTGCCAATGGCGCTGGTGTGCTCGTGTCCACCATCTACAACGCCAGCACACCTGATCTGTACCCGAACAACGCCCACCACAAGGTCGGCTGGATCGCGACCTGGGTCGTGTCCGCGCAGGTCGTTATCGGGCTCCTGGCCCGTGTGTCCGGCACCTTCAAGCGTGGTGGCAGCAACTGCAGTTACGACGGAATTCGCAGCAGCGAGCGCCGCGCCTTTATCCCCGTATCCACAGAGGCGCTGGCCGAGCACAGCAGCCAGCAGCAGAGACGTCACCCAACCAGCCACGGCCACCAGTACCGTCTTTCGAACGACAGCGGCCAGGGCACGGAGCCCAACACCGAGTCCCTGCGCAGCAACTCCGTCTCGACGCTGGGCGACGGCGAGTCAAGTCGCCAGAAGGAGAGCTACGATGAATCTGACCAGAGCAACCACTACGACGACTTCGAGGATGAGGATCTCGAGGATGCACGCCGGCCGCCGTCGCCTCGTCTGGTCCTTGCTGGCCGTTTCTCTGCCCTTACTGGCAAGGTAGCCGGCAAGATCTCCTCACGCGCTTGGACTGTCCTGCTTTTCGTGTACAACTTTATCGATCGCACCAGCATGATCCTGGGTTTCATTGCTTTTACCCTGGGTATCATCGCCTATGGTCGTTTCTTTGTAAGTTTTGGACCCCAATCCCCGCAAAAAAATACTTTGCAAATTTGGAGTTACACGAAAGGCACAAAAGAAGGGGGGCGAAGGCGCAGTCAAAGGAAACAAAAAATTGGGGTACACTAGGTACAATTTGGAGTCGACCTTAATCAACTGACACCAACTTTCATTAGGAGGGGCACGGCATTTTCAGTGGCCTGGCGCACTGGATCAAGGGAGGCATTTTCTTCTGGTTGGGTATTTTCACTCTTGGCCGCTGGGCGGGTTGCTTCGGCGAATGGGGATGGGCTTGGAACGTACGACCGAAATCACCTTCGCAGAAGTGGCGCCCGTCAGCCGAGTTTGTCGAGAGCTTCCTCATTTTCTTTTACGGCGCGACGAACATCTTCCTCGAGCATCTCGGTGGTCAGGGCCAAGCGTACTCTGCGACGGACCTGGAGCATGTGTCCATCACTGTTCTCTTCATCGGTGGCGGTTTGGTATGCTTTTCTTTTGTTTTCCTTTCTCGCCCGTTTACTTTTGCTGTGAGGTGGTGTCTTTCTCTGCTAACACTGATCCCCGTATTTTCTTAGTGCGGTATGCTCATCGAGTCAACGCGCATCCGTGACCTCCTGAACACGACCGTGACGGAGGCGGCCCACGAGTACCCCGAGAGCAACTACCATGACGAGGAGCGCGAGGCTCTCCGTCCACCGCCCACGTACGAGTTTTCGATCAACCCTATCCCGGCTCTCGTCATCCTGCTGCTCGGCATCATGATGAGTTCGCACACCCAACATAGCATGATCTCGAGCATGGTGCACAAGCAGTGGGGCAACCTGCTTACGGGTGCGTCCTTTGCTCGTGGTTTCACCTATGTCCTTACCTTCCTGCGCCCGCCCAAGTCCATCCTGCCGTCACGGCCGCCGACGGAGCTGCTCGCGTCGTTCAGTCTAATTTCTGGCGGTGTCATCTTCATGGCCAGTGCTGGTGATACTATCAACGGCATGATCCACTACAAGCTGGATGCCATGTTCATGTACACGGTGACTATGGGGCTTGTTGGTCTCCTGATGGCGTGGATCATTGTGGTCATTGCTCTCAAGGGCTGGGCTGTCCGCAAGGAGGCCGGCCGTCCGACCGGTTCGTATCGCTTGGCGTAAGCCTGCGACAGGAATTAGGACACACTACGAACAAAGACGCACAATGTTGTGAACGAACGATGTCGATGACGATGGACATGACTATCCATGACAAAAAAACACGACAAAAACTCCTGTTTCCAAAGAATACATATGACCCTTCTGGGCATATCTAATGATACGAAGGTGACCGAACACGGGAAGGAATACCATTTATTAGAGGCAATATCCACACGACAAAACCGGTTGGATAGCTAGGCAAGAGGTGGAAGAAGAATAATACCAGCGTTAGATATTTACTTTTTATTTGGGTGAGGGAGGAGGAGGGTGTCATTTGCTTTTGCTGCGTCGTCCTTTTTCTTGCATTGGGAGGAGAGGTCTTTTTTATACCATTATACCATTTTTGTGTGTTGTTTTTTGTCCTGGTCTTTCCTTATATATCCCCAACTGCTATTTGTTTTTCTCTTCACTATTTTTTCTTCTACAACCTGGTGGCTATCCGGTGTCAGGTGCGACTTCAAAGATACCCCATCATATGCATGTTCGCTCATTTTACAAATAATATTGCCAAATCCTTACTAAAGACATGTCCTTGTTTGAGTTGCAAAATGTGAAAAAAATAAAAGCGTTCGTCCTCGTATTACTGCCATTCGTGGACTGGCTGTGCCACTCGTCGCAGTCCCATAATATCCGGAGCCGCCATTTGCCTGCCCTCTGTCCCAGACACTGGCTTGATCGGCTATCTATCAACAAAACCAATTGTTATCAGCTCGGCTCTTTATTTGCGGCGTTTCAGCAGTTGCCAGATCGGTGGACCAGGTGGCCATTTATTCATCTTTGCGCTGTAAAACTCGAATTTGTGCCGTGTCTGTTGGACTGAAAGGTGGTTGATGAAACAGAGAAGTCATTGCATGTTGGATTCCGCATTGATGCTGGCCTTAAACATTGATTTATACACTTCGTTGTTGTCGTCGTCGTCGTAAACGCGTGTCGTGTCCGTCTCCTCCTGGCTTGAGCAGAATCCCGTCGAGTCCCCTTTCAGCTGCTCTCGCCGGTCTTGCCAACGACCACTCGGGCCTGGTCCTCGGCCGAGAACATGGCCGTTCCTTGCCGCAGCGCGCCGATCAGAAGCTGGAGTGAGTTGTCTGTATCGGTCACACCGCTCTTGGCACCAGCCTTTCCGCCTGCAGCGCTGGCATCGCCAGCACCAACACTCTCCTGACCCGGCAGGACAAAATCGGCGGATGTGCGCAACTGGTCAAGGTCTTCAGCAAGCTCCGCGGTGGTATGCTGAAGATAGAATGCCTGGAAGGCCTGGTTGGTCGAGTTGGACGACATTGAGTGTGTGAGTTTTGCAGCTTCGTGAATAATAAAAACCTAGCTTGAAGTTGAGATATGCTTGGACTGAAGAACGGTGTCGTAAAAAGTAGCCTGAACGACTTTTTATGCTTACATAATCACACAACACCATCCTTTATCACTCAGGAATTAAATACACGGAAAACAGAGGTGCCATATTCTCACATATCATATGCGAATATTAAAGAAATTGCATCTCACATGCTACGAAAGGGATTAATGTTTTTTTGGTGTAAAGGATCTTTGGGTATCGTTTCTGCTCTTAATATATGGTTTCCAGCCCAGTCCCTTGTGCTTATACTCGCTGCATAAAGATGGATATCCGTTTAACGCCGCGTTTTTATAACAATTTCCTCCTCTTTACTCAGCCATCACACAAACGCGTGATAGCACATTCAAAGCCCCCATGGTAATACCGACTGCTTCTTGTACCACAAAACAAACATCGGCTCTGCAACTTACAGTGTGTCGTCATAGACAATCTTCTGTCTTTGGGGCACATTGCTAGACGGCGCTTGGTTGGACGACGACCCAGCATCGTCGAGAGACTGGTAGTTGTAGTAGCCTGTCGATCGCCCGGCCGCCTTACTAGCAGCGACACCAGGGTCAGTATGGCCCTGGGTCCCCGCTCTGCGCGGTCCTCCACGCATCGCAGAGCCGCCACCACGGAAGTTGCCGCGGCCGCCATGGAACCCACCTCGGAACCCTCCGCGGCCGGGCGCCTGGGAATGGTAACCCTGGCTACCACCTTGTGACCCAAATTGACCACTGGGTCCCCGTGGGGGAACGAATCCCGCCGGCTGTGTTGGGAAGCTGCCCGTGGGATTCGCCCTTGGTCGAGCATTCGCTGCACCGTTGTTGTACAGTCTCGCTCCAGCACTGCCGCGGTGGCGTTTGATTGGAGGCGGTTTATTTTGATCCTCTTGGTTACCCGCATCTCCCGTGTGCTCGGATTCGACGCGCAAGATCGCCTTCTCGCCAACTGTGGTCTCAAAGTCAAACACCTTATCCGCCGCCACCGGTGCCCACTTCCGGATGCGCGATGCCTCGTGCGGCCGAGCGGTGCGGTACACAGCTAGGACAACAAGCGGCGTAGCTTCGGCCGTGTGGTATGTGGCGCCGGGTGTCGCTGGACGAACCTTGACAGCCCAAACGCTATTGTCGACACTCCCAATGGCTTCTACGCGCCAGGTCATCTTGTTACCCATGCCGCCGGCCTTAGCCAACAGAAACGGAGAGCATACCCGTGGGCCAATCATGATGCTGTTAGCATGATACTTGACATCCCGGCGGTTGAGGGGCTGTGGCAGCTGTAAGAGCTCGAGAAGACGCTTCGTGTCCGCGTCTTTGATCAGGTACCCAGTGAAGAACACCGTCTTGTTCAGGGACAGCATTCCACGCTTTCCACCACCGGCTTCATTGTGGCAGTTGATCATGTGCTGCACCTCGGCCACCTCAATGGCCGGGTCCAGCGTAGTCGCCGTCTCAGTCACAGGAACCACCTCACCCGCGATGGGAGGCAGTGGGCCCACGGACCGCTTCTCGCGCTTCTCGTTGTACTGGACCAAGAATTCGCGGAAACCTTCGACGTGGCGCGGCCGGTCTTCGTAGATGCGAATCTCAGTTGCAGCTGCATACGTTTCCATGACAGCCTCCAGAAACGCTTGTTTGAACTGCATTGTGCTTGAAAAGCGCTCGTTGTTAGGGCCCACCGCCGGCTTGAGTGCGATCATGTCGAAAACAAGCTTTTTGCTGTTGACCATGCGCTGCACCAGGTCGCCAAATCCCCGCTCCGACCGGCCTGTCAGCAGCACGCAAAGCGCATCAGGCTGCTTCATTGAAAGCCGCACCAGCTCCACCACTTGTTCGTTCCACCAACCCTGCCACGCCCGGGGCTCTTCTATCTCACGTCCTGCGCCCGTCGCCGCCAGGATGCGCACGTCATGCCACCAGCCGCCAGAGATGAACACATCGTTGTTCGACAAGGAGCCTATTGTCGCCGCGTTCCATAGTTTCGAGTTTGGCAATGGGGTCTTGAATACTGCATTTTGGAGAGACAAGAGGTCAAAGGGTGAGCTTCCACGTCGATGACAGATGGCTAGTGTCGGGGGGAGGGGAGGAAAGAAGTGTCTTACAGGTGTTGTCAAAGTCGTAAATGTGAATGTTTCGGATGGTGTTCGCTGCTGGTAGCTTGTCGTTCAGCAGCGACCAACGACTCAGCGCTGTTGGGGTGTATGCCGCGGTACTGCTCCGCCCAGAGTCTTTGCTACCACTGCTCTCCGTCTCAGCCGCAGATGTGGATGCAGCTGCGGCCTCTGCTGGTGTCGGAAAGCTGTTTGCTACATCGCCGAGAGCATTTGGCTGCTGCTGTTGCTGCAACCGGGCGGCCGCGCTGTAGGCGGCTGCTGCTGAGATTGACATCGTCGGTCGGGAGAGTAAACGGCGTAACGGTCGATATGTAGCAAAACGAGAAGGCGACGTCGTTGAGGCTGAGGCGGTTGTGGTCGCGGTTCGGACGGAAAAAGCACGGGCACGAGCTGCGGCCGACAGATTCATAGGCCAAGGGAGAGAAACAAAATTGTTCACAAAGTGGGACGCTTTCCCTCTTATATACTTGACACCGAATGTTCCCAATATGTCGTAGAAGGAAGGAACGTGCGGAGTTGGGGCGGCTATTGAGTCACGGAAGCAGTGTCTGGCAGAAACGGGAAAGAGCTGTCGAGGTGGGTGCGCGCTGTGTTGCGCTATCGCTTTTGTTAAGCTGTTGCCGTAATTCGTATTTCAGCCCCGTTTCTACAGCCTTGGATGGCCTCACTGGAAAATCGAGATATGGGTCACGTGAATCGCTGCCAATGCAACACTTCAACTTGCTTTATCAAAATGTTGTTTTATCATATCTAATCTTTATTTAGATATGAAACGGATATTCTCGAAAGAAAATTGGTATTTTGCATTTATGTACTGGTTAGCTATGGGAAAGACATTGCTACAATGGATATATCCGAAACGACTTCCAAGAAGAAGATGGGGATGGACATGGCATGCTGGCGAGAGAAAGCAAGTAGAAACGAGTCAAAACAAGGTTGCGGTAGAAGGTAAAGAGAAAGCAAACAACACCATGATCGAATATAAGAAGCCGAATATATGATACTCCAGAAAGCAAGGTCCTCGAAGAAGCAAATCCCACGAAAAATAGGCCAGCAGCAATGGGACAAAATAAAGCAAACGGGACTAGCTGACAATGTAGACGCTGCCCAGGTAACCAACAACATAAATTTGTCTGAAGACGCCATGCAAAATGTGTGTTTTCGTTTTTTTCGTTCCGAGTTGATGCAAAATGTTTCGTTGATAACATAAGATTGAGTGGTGGGTGGGTGTTGAATAAATATGAGTATGTCGAAAAGGGTGGGGCTCTTGGGAAGATGGTTGAGGTGAGCGATGGAAGCCTTCCACAAGTTAATGAATCATAAGGTTTAGGGTCGGCCTAAACGGAGGAGATGGTAGAGGGGAGATGCCATAAGATAGGCGTAAGATTGAGCGGTGTGAAACGGGTTAAAGAGGAGTGACTTTAGTCAATGGCCCAGCGACGCGTCCAGACAATAGGGTCGCCGCCGGTATCTGAGAGGGTGTCGCTGTCATCCGAATCGGAACCGGCCTTGGAGGCGGAAGAGGAGCTCCGCTTCAAGCTAGGTGCGGCCGACAAGTAGCCGGCCGTGTCGTGGTCGTCGTCTTCATTGTCATTGTTGTCCTCGGCGTCCGTATATGCTTCGTTATCAGCCTCGGTGTACAGGTTTAACTGGCTGACATCGTGGTCCGGGCGTGTTAGCTCTGTGCTGCGGCCCAGCGGGTCTTCAACATCAGAGTAGTCCCACTGGGCCGAGATGCTTTCACCTGTATCGGTGTTCTTGCCCATGGCAGAGCCCCGCCACTCGCCCTTCAGGATACGCGCGGCAATCTTGAGCATCAACGCAAGTAGATAGCTCGGTGGTGCAAGGAGGATCTCAAACACTTTGTATATGATCGAACCTGGGATGCGCCGCATCGCCTCAAGGCGTGTCGTGGCGCGTCCGGAGCTATGGAGGTTGCGGAGGTGGCTCGGCGCAATAATATTGACAGCCGGCGGGAGTGCCGCGTGGTTCGACACGGATATGCTAGATGTAGTCGCGCGATGACGCATACGCGGCTGCTGCATCTCCTGCTGCTGCTGGAGCTGTTCGAGGGTACCGATACCATTGTTGAACTTCCTTCGTGCGTCTTCGTATAGCGACGAGAGGCTTGGTGGGACCCCCGCGGCGTCGGCGAGCGAACCAGCGGTGGATGGGGGTGATGAAACAAGAGCTTTACCCCCTGCCGAAGACAACCATGACCGTAGGCTGTTGAAGGGGCTGCTCGAGTCAGCAGTCGTCGACTGGTCGGATTCCTCCAGCCATCTTCCGTCGATGGAGGGCCAGGCGGTCTTCTGCGAGGTCGAAATGTCGCTCGTAAGTGATAGGGCGCGGTCTCGTTGTTTTCCACTGCCCTGTCCACCTGTCGGAGAAAACGTCCCACCGGAGTCGTGCCAGGGGTTTCCCATCTTGTTAACTTCGATCTCTGAGGCTTTGAGGTCGCTGATGCGCTGCTCGTGTTCAGCGACTAAAGCAGGTACGAGCCGTCGACCAAACTCGTCGACGCCATCAGCGGCCGACCCTCTTTTCTGGCTTTCCAGCATAGCCTGCCATTCTCTTCTCGAAAACTCGGTAGGTCGTTCAAGACCGGATTGTTGGGTCTGTGACCGCTGCAGTTTTTGTCGAGGAGGGGCAACTGAGGAGACAACGGAGGACAGGACCGATCCATCGTCGTCATCGTCCTCTTCGTCTCTCTCTTGCAAGGAGGGCGGGGACTGCGACCGCTGTTGTTTCTGGTGTGCCGTGGGCTGGGAACCGGAACCTGAGCTTGTGCTCTCGGCCTCTGGCCGCTTCACAGGCGTCCATGGTTTTTTC